TGATGGCTATCGCATCATCCCCACCCCAATCCGTACGGATTTACGACCGCCGATTCGACACTTTCACGTTAACCATTGCCCCCCCACCCCGCTTGTCATTGATTGGTAAACCAAAAAGGATTTAACTCGTCAGCTAGATCTTTTATTTAAGAAACGTAGCTGAGGCAGAACTCCTGTAGTCCCGCCTGCATCTCACATATCTAACTAAAAGATAGACAACTCTCCTACACGGCGCGACCGTCATTAAAATCATATGACATCTATCCTTTCCTTGAGATAAACCATCTTATTCTATAGCCATGAATGTCTTTGAATGACAAAGATGTAACTTTTCATATCAATGCCTAACAACGGACACTTAACATCTAATACAGACCAGTAGGGTAAGACCTGCCCACTGTCTGGACTCAGATCCAGGGATTATTCTGCCCTTAGCGATCTTAGTCGCCTTAAACTAACACCTTGTAGTTCTGAAAGCGTGAGGAGACGCAACGTGGCCCGGACACTCGCTGCCGATGTGAGGTCACTGGTACCATAAGCGTATGTTGCTGAGCATCAGATGGCGAACTGTATCTGCATTCTTCGCTTCGACTCGTAGACCATTGTTTGCCTGCGCACATGTTGGGGTAAATGCGTTGTCAAAACAACCGTCTCTGCTGCCGGCAACAAACTATGGCCTTGCTGTGTGGGTGGTGCGTAAGAATTCGATGCCCACTAGGTGTCACTGGGTTCATTGTATAGTTTACGGTTCCGACGATGAATTCCGCATCGTCGCTGAATGACTGTAGACGGTTGTTTTCTGTCAACCACCGAACTGTTTCCCACTTGTTCCCAGCCGCTTCTCACGTGTCCACCGCTTCGTCAGTGCCAACTGACTACTGGACAGGTGAGGTAGTATTCGAGCACCTTCCTGCATCATAATACCTTCTTGTAGGTTGGCTTAGCTGATTCGTCAGACTGACGGATTGCGTGCTGGTATCTGGAACATTTGGCAGTAGATTTCGCTCCAGTATCGGAAGTCTGGTCCGGTAGTTCTCGTCTCCTGTAGTGCCATAGACTGGAGACACACTCGCGTAGCTGAATGCGCAGGTTGCTCTATAGTTCAACAATCCAATCTCTGGATCATCCAGCTTCAGTAATGTGTTTAGCCGTCGCCACGGCAACGTCAGCCATCACACATTCTCTGGTTGTGGTGTGTATGGGTGTGGTCCGTTTTCGTGAGTGAATCCCCACGACTTAGCAAACTGCACGGAATTCGTGATGAGGTATATTTGCGCCTCATTATCCGATATACGAGCCTCTGATACGAAAAGCCGTAAACATTGCTTTTCATGTCCTGTGTTAATTACTGCAGAGCCTGGTAAGATTGTCAGCCTCGTCAACTTCGATTCCAACGAGAGTAATAGTCTACCAAACTACCAAAAAATGTCCTGCTTGAATTTAGTAGATTCCGTCCCGCAAACACTGCTGCCATGGCGACCCCGCCAACTCTATTGCGCTGCAGGGGTTGTTCTCGCTCTGTGATGGGTCTGCTCTGTCCGCACCTCCACACACATTGATCGACCATGTTTTTAATTAGTCCGCTTGCTCATGTTCGGCCACCATATGGGCTGTCCCGCTCATTTCACGGGAAATAAAAAAAAAAAAAAAAGCATTCGAGATGCCTCTGCTGTGATTCATGCTAGTGCGTTCTAAAGCATCCTGTCTCATTTGCTCTAGGCAGAACATTCATAATCTGTAGAACCAACTATTCCATTTGTCACCGATAGCTCGTGACGTACATGGTATATAGTGCCTTCAAAGGCTCCGGCACCACGCTCACTTCTATTTTGGCCACCGTTGAATGACGCTAACGCAATTACTGCATGCAGGACCATCGTCCTGTCTCTGTAGTTCCCTGATCTGTTCTAATTTGTTAGGTGACGCTGACCCAACTACATGAAGCTGCTGTCCACATAATCACTGACATCTTCGACCAGCTAGTACACTATCCTCTGTGTCACAGCTAGCGAAGGCATTCCTGATATGTGCATCTGCACTATACTGTTCTTTACCCGCCAACAAATGATACAACAGCGATTAACCGCATCAATTCGCACAAAAGCACCCTGACAGCCGAATGAGTGTTTCTATACAATTTCTCTGTGGCTCAGTAGAGCACCAATGCCGTTGTGGTTCGCGTCAGAGTAGAGTAATCCGTTGTAATCCCACAAGATACCTAGACAGTTTTCGCCATGCCCATACTGCGCCAGCCACATTCCTTCCATTTGAGCATAATCGCTGCCTCACGCTTGAGTGTTATTGAGGCAGAATGCACTGTTTACTGCACTGGAGTACGGCCCTTCCCGAAACTGCCTAGCATCAGCCACTTTGATCGTTTGCTTTTTCGCATCATAGTATCCGCTAGTGTTGGCAGAAACGCATAGTAGCTGTTGCGTTTCTTTTGGAAGGCACCTTGCTGACTTGGCCCCCATAACCCAGACACTGTCACTATCCTCAGCAGATCTGTCATGGGCTTCATAACAGAAGACGGTTGTTTGCAAACTTGCGCTAAGTATTGAAACATTCAATCAAGCCGCACAAGTCCTGACATTGGGGGTGAAGTCAGATGCCATCATTGCCGTTACCTATCTCTGGGTCTGGCTTCGACTCCGCTTCAGCCAGCCGATTAAGGTCACCAAAGCTAAACAAATTCCTTTCATCCTAAAACTGGCATTCTTCTCGGTTTAAGCCGAAAGACTTGCTTCTGGAAAGTCTCGTCAGACACTTCAGTTAGGCCTCCACTTCCATGCTCTATCCATGGATCGGCCATGAACCAATAGTATGCATCCATTATGACCTCTACTCCTCCAAGCCATGAAGTGAACTCGGTCATTTCGCGTGGAAGTATCCTCTGGGCGCCTGAAGTAATACGACGAGGAACGCGACAGAATGCAAACCTGCGCCAAACAGCGCCGCATGAAGTTGTGAGCAGTTGGCTTTGCTCAATCCAAGGGGATCTGCCAAAATCCACTTGCTGCATCCCAGCTTGTAAAGTACTTGGACTAAGCCAACTTAGGAGCGATGTCGCTTTAGATTCGCAAGTGTATAATGTTCTCTGCGAACAGCCCTATTGAGTCTTTTAGGTCAACACAAATGCGCAGTTTACCATTTTTCTTCTGAACGGAACCATAGCTGCACACCATTCCGGTGGGCTCAGTGACAGGACGGATCACTCCCACTATCCTGCATTCTCCGTATTTCTGTTTTCAAACCGCATGCCATCAGGGGAAACGGGAAACTTTTCGTGCGGTGTCAAACACAGTGGTGTTTGACTGGTTCGGTCGTCAAGAGACCAATATCTGAGTTGAACTGACTCAAGATTTCATCTACATGGGTAACTAGGCCCATTTTCCTTTGCCACTCTGCCGCGGCCTAGCAGGCTGACTGGTCCTGTTCCATCTATCACGACTACACGAAATGTATAGACTTTCCCCTTGTGATTGATGACAGCTGTAAATGCAGCCTAGAACCTTGAGCTGGCCCCCAGGACTGTTGAAGCTTGACCATTGTTGTGCATCAGGTGTGGACGACTTTTCAATGATCGCCAGAATGGTGTGTGAAATATCATGTTACGTCAAGCTCCGTGTCTATTTTAAATTTTAACAGTTTAGGCACGCATATGTTTCAGTGACTAAGGCCGCAAAGCTCCGCGGGCTTCTCCTCCTCCTCATGGCAATCAAGTTGTTCCAAGGAAGAATGATTCCTCCCCCTCGGATGTATCCTGAGATGTCACTGCGTCTGTTGCCCCATTTAAATTTCCACCTCGGTGTTTACCACTGCGACACACCGAAGAGAAATGTCCACGCTTATTGCATGACCTACAGATCTGTCCACTAGCAGGGCATTTACCACCCCGTGGGTGACAGTCGTAACCACAACGGTTGCATTTCTGTTTTGTTATGTGGCTGCTGACATCCTTCTTCCACTTTGGTCTATGCTCCCTTTGTTTTGAACCTCCTGGTGGGAAGCTTGTTGCTGGACCATCTGTAATTTTACCTGTTCATGCTGGCGTGCCACTGCTGCAGCTTTATCTAGGGTCAAATCTGGCATCAGCTGCAGTTTTTGCTTCACTCCTCGATCGAGTCCCACAACAAACCTGCCACGTACTTGGTCCTCTGGATCCTTGTACTCGCAATTCTCCACCATTGCTTGAAGGTCCCTTAGAAATTCCTCCACTGTCTCCTCCCTACTTTGGACCCTCTCTTGAAAGAGTGATCTCTCGTGTATTATATTTCTTTTCGGGATGAAGTACTGTGTGAATTTCTTGACAACTGTGTCGTAATCAGTGTCCTTCTCCTCCTCTCTAATTGTGGCGCTAGGGTTTTCTGGGTCAGGCACATCATGCAAAACCAAATTTCAACGTTTTGAATATTTTGTTGGCTTGTTTACCTCCCATACAGTAGATAAGTGAGTACCTTTGTACTTCTCCGTCTTCTTTGTGAAGTTTAGTGGCTTTCCGAAATCATCCGAATTCCTCTATCCACTCACTCCATTCTTCAGCTTTGAACGTAAACTTGGCAGGGAGGTCATATCGTGCCATTTTCTTGACAATGACTTGTGATTCCGGGCCACCGGTATCAAACTGTAGACTCACCCTTTAGACACAAACGTCCGCGTTGTTCTGTCAAGCAGCACTACAATGTGTACTTGAAACTGTTCTTGAAGTCACTTCTGACACCATGTCATGATTGTGTAATCCCAAACAAGCGATTTAACTTCATGTAGATTCGTTTTATTGAAGAAACGTAGCTGAGCAGAACACGAGATTACAAACCGCCATGCCGAACTCCTGTAGCTCCCCCTGGCTCTCAAATATCTAACTAAAAGATAGACAACTCTCCTACAGGGCGCTACCGTCATTAATCATTATGACACCCCTAAAATAAAATCCTAGCTACGCGCCTGGCTTCAGCCTAGCCAAGACTTCGCCAAGTACGCTTGATAGATTGAGTTCTCACCTGTTCACTATGTTGACTGTGTTCACCTGTAGCACAAATAGTTCAGTTGTTACTACCACGTACACAATAATCTTAAGACACTCGCACGTTGCCGTCATCTATTGACGAATAGTAAAGTATTAATTTGTTTGCACTTTTTAACTTTTCTTATTTTGTTAATGGATGTAGTAAAATTTATGTTTTAAATTTTGAAGTGGCAGAAGTACTGGCTGAAGTTGCAGAAGTACATACTAAAGAGGTAGGAAAAAAGAAAAGAGGAAAAAAGGGGAAAATAAGTTCCGCAGCTGCCGAGCTGGGACTCGAACCTGGAATGCAGGTGTAGACGGATGTTCTAGTGATGAGGCCACTGCGCCATTACGGTTATACACCATGGATTCAGACGATGTTCAGATGTTGTTTGTACGTACGTGACCGCCACCTATTGATCAATAGAATTTTTTATGAATGTTTAACTTTTTAACTTTTTTAAATTTTTGTTTCAGCCAGAACCACCTACCAGACGTGCTGATTCTGAAAATATATTTAGTTTTCCTCTAGGCTGCGGAGTTCTCTAGTTATGCGAATACGGACTAATTCGGCCGAACAACTTTATATATATATATAGATTATATTATTTTATATTATATATTATATTATATGGCTTAATATCTACATTATACTTACTTATAGGTTGGTGGTATAGGGCATACGCCCGTGGCAATGTCTACTACTGCTGTTATCATGTCTCCGTTGTTCAGGACATGTGATGATCTACGCAGGCCAATGACGCTTCTGCCATTTATCTCCATCAAGTGTACATCACCCTGCTCCGTCACAAACATCTCGACCTCGAGAAACTGATCATCGTAACCATATTTAATGAGAGTTTCTGCGGTCTGGTCGTATTTATTCCAAGCTTTACCGAGTGTAGTGGGGCTATGATCGCTCGGGAACGCTATCATATGCATCAACTCCGGCTTCTTTGGCCAATGCTTTTTATCACCTGAAATCAACAATATTCAATATATAACAATATAACAATATATAACAATAAATAATATTCAACAATGTTGCGGAAAACGCGATGGAACTAAAATTCTTGTATGTTCATTTCCCGGAGGGGGTCATTATATATGCCGGTATTACCCCATGTGCATTCCAAATTTTGTGGGTTAGGGGGGTGTTTTTCAACTTCTAAAGCGGGCCCGCGCGGGAGCAAATAGGCCCCCCTTTCTTTACAAAGCTAATCCCGCAATAAGCCCTCGGGATCGTTCAAGTCAAGCACCGCGCCCGCAGTAGGCCCCCCTCACAGGCCCCCTCCATTCCCTCCACTGTTTGCCCTCCACTTGTCTGCAACTGCAAGACCTCGCAATAGGGGGTAGGGGTCCGGGTAGGACTCTTTCATTGTGTATGCAATAGGGGGTGGTATTCTTTAATTGTGTCTGCAATAGGGGGTAGGGTTTTCCAATGTGCAGTTCGCACTAGGGGGCCTATTATTTTTAGTGAGAACGCACATGGGGTAATACCGGCATATATAGTGACCCCCCGGGGTTCATTTAACTATAATGCTGTGGGTAATCCCTTAGGAATGTCATATGTATGCGTGTGCGTATGCGCATTGGTACGCGTATGAGCATCGTGTGCGTAGTATATGTATGTTTGGATATATAATAAAAATTTTATACGGATTAATGCTGTACTTACCGATGACCCAGTGGTGGATTTGACCCTTGCACACGTAACCATGTACGTTAATGATGGATGCATCCTTCATGTACTTCATCGCAATGGCACCGCGTGAGTAGTGTGGTGGGAATTGCTCCGGTTTGAGATGTTCCTGTAGACGATCCAGAAACTCTGTAGCCTCAGTTGTTAACTCGCTTAATGTCTCAATGACATTTCTCAGTTCCTCCTCATTATATGCGAGGTACACGTCCATGCTTTCCGTCGATGTCGTTAGCTTGATGAAGGCAGGAACACCTGTGATGTTCAGAATCTCCGACATTGCCGCATCGCTCCTATCGGCGCATGCACGCAGATCAACAAACTTGAAAGGAAGCGGGTCTGGATCGACTAGCTGATGGGTGTAATACTTGTTAAAGCAGAGAAACGCTGAGATGAATGATGGACCATAAAGGTGGGGAAACTTTTCCGTAAGAATGGATGCAATAATGGCGGGTCCATCCTCATATGTGAATATGCCGACGACTGTATTCACGCGGATGAACTGCTCTAATTCTCCCATTTCAAGCTGTTTAATGTTCTTATTGCTATCACCGTAGAGACTCTGAACGTAGAGAGAAAGCGTGCCTCGATGTTTCTGTAGGTATTCTGCGATTTCGGGCCTTAGGGATTTTTCGACAATGACCAGCAACTTGTCACCGTGAGCTTCTTTTTTTCCTCCCATGATGAGTTCTGTGACAAAAAATATATAATATTTATTATTAATCGTTCTATTGTGTTACAATGAAATATATATAATTATATTGTAATACTATTAATAGTTTATGAATTGTCTAAATAATAATGTAATAAGACGCAATTCCTTAGTATAATAGATCCAAGTGGATCATAGGTAATTGTATATCTTGCCGTGACTTGGCAATGTCTTTGATATATGCACACAATTTTGACCACGAGACATTAAGGCCCCAATTCTCCTCTTTTTCTTTGACACACACACATGCACACACAGGGGCGCGTGCACGCACACACAGTCACACACACACAAACACACGCACGCACGCACACACACACACACACACACTAGTGTTGTCAATCGGTTGTAATTTCGTAATCGATCATCGGTTGGACCCAAGTAACCGATGATCGGTTACAATCGGTTACTCGGGGTGTTGAATGCCTGCGTGTGCTTAACCTCGTGTGCATGTACGTGTGTGCATGTATATGCTTGTTTAGCCCTGTTTACTGTTTGTTTTAAACTGTTTACTACTGTGTGTATAATACATGTATGTTAATAAAGGATAGCTTGTATAGTAGGGATGATATCTCTGATTCTCATCACTTTTCCAAGTTTTCTTGTTCAAGTTAAAAAAAACACACACACACACACAGTCACACACGCGTGCCCGCGCCCACGCCCACGCCCACGCACACACACACAGTCTCTGCCAGTTTGACCCATCAAGGAAACTGTTCAGATGTATTATTTATACACTCTGATGCTCTGGCGCTCTGTTATGTACTCTATACGCTATATTACATATAATGTCGATGACGTGTTAACGAATGTGTGAAAGCTGACTATTATGCCTTCATTGGAGCACTCACTATAAATCGATAAGCACAGGAATTTGGGAATGAACGGCTTTATTCAGAAACGACGGCAAACTCACATCAATGTCTCCCAAGTAGAGACCAAGAGAGGGCGCGCGCCTCGCGCATGCGGCAACACCGCGCCACCTTCCGACACTATCCGAAAACTATGCTGCCGTCACATATACCCCTCTTTTGAGGAGATGTGCCCCACATCAACATATGCAAATCCGCTAAAAACAAGGGGCAACCGCCCAGCGGTTACATTACAACAGGAGGCAGCTACCCTGCCACTGTCCACGGAATACAAAATACGGAACACAAAATTACACGATCCGCTAAAAACAAGGGGCAACTGCCCAGCGGTAAACATTACAAAAGAAACCATGTTCTACAAAATCATGAAATGCGTCAAACACCAACGCCTCATTTATGCAATCGCGTGCTCGTGGTGCCTAATAAGCCTCGAGCCTAAGTGTCGTCCTCCGTCAGGACATCCGCCATCGCTTCACGTCCGCTCCTCGTCACGTGTGATTCTGGAGCGGCCTCGATCAGCGTTTCCTCTGCCAGCTGAACGAGTTGTTCAGGGTGATGCTCATCCAGCGGTGGGTCATCTAGGTGACCGTCAACGTGCAAGGCAAGTGGTACGAACTCTGCACCATCATCTTGTTCGTCGTGTTCTTCTTTACGGGCAGCATCAGTTGGTCTCTCCTCATGAAGTGGAACAGCAGGAACTTCTGGTTCTGGAGCCTGGACGCCACGTGCTGCAGGCAAACCCATGTCAACACGTGGTCCCGCTCCTAACTCGGCATCTCTTTCCCCTGGTTGAGCAACTGCTCTCAGCTCGTATCCTTCGTCTGGTTACTCAGGTGGGACAGCTGGTTCTGCAGGAAACCCCATGTCAGCGCCAGGTCCACCTTCGGGAATTCCGTCGTCCACGATATCTGCCGCCGGGACAGGAGGGGCTGCAGGTGCGGCTGGTAATCACATGCCGACACCAAGACCAAATCCTCCACCCATCATTGGGAAGAACATTCCCGGCAGGGCAGGAACGCCCGGTCCCCTCTCTACAGGGACGTCGTCAAGCTCCTCCGGCTCTTGATGCGCCAATGGCCTTGGTATCCTGGGTGCCACACACGGTTTTAAGCGATTGTGATGGACAACTAGCCTATGTCGCTTAGCTGTGTCCTCACTCTGGATCCTGTATGTGACACCAGGCAGGCCATTCACTGTCTGCATCCTCTTTACGATGATATATGACCCTACCCATGGTAGAGCCAATTTCCTGTGACGATCTTTGGGTACTGGAGCGTATAACCACACTCTGTCCAACACTTGGTAGGGGTGTTTCGCCAATTGTCGTACACTTTCTTTTGTCGCTCTTGGCCGATACTTGCCGTCTTCCGGGCTTCCTCGAAAGCCTCTTGCATTTCGGCGAGGATGCTCTTCGAGTAACTCCCGGCCGACTTCCAATGGTACTTGGTTGGGCATCCATAGACAATGTCCGCCGGCAAGCGGGGTTCCCGACCATGTGACAGGTAAAATGGCGACATGCCAGTCGTCTCGTGTACACTAGAGTTGTACGCCAACTGGACTGGGCCAAGGTGGAGATCCCAATCCTTGCCGTGTTTGACTCACCTTTGCGATGGCGCTCTTCAGCCTCTCGTTGAACCGCTCAATCATGCCGTTTCCTTCGGGATGGTATGGGGTCGTTCTAGTCTTCTCGATCCCAAGCATGGTGCATAGTTCCTGCACTATGTCTGACTCAAATTGCCGACCTTGATCAGAATGAATCGTTTCTGGCATCCCGTGTTCACAAACATAATGGCGAAAGATAAGGTCTGCAACGGTCTTAGCTGTCTGGTCCTTCATGGCATACAGATTCACATACTTCGTAAAATGGTCGCCAACCACCAAACAGTAACGGTTACCCTGTAGGCTGATTGGCAGTTCTGTGATGTCTGTCGCTACAAGCTGGAATGGGTAGGATGAGGAAATACTTTGCAGTGGTGCCTTCATCCTCGGATTTGGCTTACTGCGGGCAACACATTTAGGACATATCCGGCAGAACTCCGCAACATCCGTAACTAGTCCTGGCCAGTAGAATCGACTCTGCATCTTGCCTAGTCTTTCGTCGTCCGAGATGGGCAGAGGTGACACCAGAGTGAACTTCATGGAGGACTTGCGATCGGAGTCCTGGGGCAACAACCTGTTGATAAACAGTGTTCCTCTTCTTGGGTGGAGTCCACTCCCTGACCAGAATTCCGTTTTGTATCGAGAAGCGATCGAACTGGCGCCAGAAAGTGATCATGTCACTTCCTTCACCTTTGATTGCTTCCCAGCACGGCTTGTCATCATTCAATACCCAACGGTAGACTTGGGATATTGAAGGGTCTTGCTCTTGTTGCGCCTTCATGCCACTTAATGGCTGTCCCTGTCCATCTGACGGTGTAAGCGCTGTCGCTCGAACTCCGTGTTTCCTACTATGCCTACTCCGACGTATCTTGTGACGGGAAAACCCTATCAGTAAGGGATCATTGGTGCAGATCTGGATACAGCGTGAGAAACAAGCGGTCGCCCAGTCGCCAGTGGCGATTAGAAAATCGACCGGGCGACTGCTTGCTCGTGTCAGCTGGTCCGGCGGGGCGACTATACATTATCGCCAGCACTGAGGAAATAAACAAATTTACCGGAAACTCGAGGCCACTAATACAAATGTTGTTTGTTTGCCCTCACCCGAGACCGCCCGCCAAAAGGGGCCGACACAAACATTTGTATTGACCTTTCCGATTTTTTTTTAAGTTTCCGTATGTGGCAGCCCTGCGGCAACTGTACGCGGGCTATAGTACTAGAGCTATGGCACAGCCTGCGTACGTGCCTGTTGGCTGGCGGGCACTGATTGAAGTAGGGGGGAGGGGCGAGGTGCATTATTGATTGTTTCACTTTCAGCTGGCGTGCCAGGGTGCATGTTCATTATTACATATGTAGGGGGTGGCCGGCGGCGCGCCGCCTGGTATGAAGACGCGGACAGCAAAACTTTCCTGGAATCGCTGGATTCCAAAACTGTGACAGCAAAACTTTGCTGGAATCCTGGAAATGGCGCTATATTTATAATTTAGATATTAAATAACTTATTATGGATCTGACAGATTAACTTATTTTCGCTTTCCAAAGACTAATATGTGCTAAGAAGATATTTATTATTTCTTATTCAAGTTGCTTTTATTTCCACATTACGTGTATGTGTGCCGTGGGCGTGCGTGCGTGCGTGGACGTGATCTGAAATAAAATCATGCAGCATTAGCTCTGATCCAAACACAAGTTTGTTAAAAGTATTTTATATGTATGTTGTATGCACTGTACAATGTAGCATTTATATAAATGTGTAGGCAAAACATAAAAGGTATCTCCCCACATCAAGGCACACCGAGCTACGGCAGACACCATTGCTGGAATTTGTAAAAAGACCCCTGAGCAAAAAAAAGCCAACACACAACTTTTCAGCGCTGGGTCGGGTGAGGGCAAACGAAAAAATTGTTTAATTGGTGCCTGATTATTTTGTTTATTCTGCTACTAACCTTGCTACATTATTCTAATGAAATCAATGGTAAAATCTAATAACAATATAGACTAAAAATATTCAAGATCCCGAAGCCATAAAGTTCATGCGAAGTATCACAAAGCTCTTCCATGTTTGTTATGTTCGTATTTTGCTAGTCATGCTGTTACCTCTGCTAATGTCGATAAATACTTGGGGCATGCCCGACCATCAGGCGATCGCGTGTTAATTAAATATGATGAATTTATTAGGAATAAGATGGCAGTCTTCAGAGACGCTGATCTTGATGTTTTGCATCGTTGATTTTTTATGCTTTGATTGATTTGATTGATTTTTGAGATTGATATGTTGGAGGCTTGTCCGATTTTACATACGCATCAGTGTATCGAAACGAGTAAAAATATAATTTTTTTAAGAATAGCCTTAGAATGCACATCAACCAAATTGCAGCCAAATCGCCAGCCCCCGCCTATAAAAAAACGTCCGCCATACGCGAGTCCATTCCTTTGGCTATGACAGAAATCCTGGACCAGTGCCTACTGACCAGGACCAGTACTTCCTCAGAGGTACTGGTCCTGCTGGACCAGTGCCTCCAATTATCAGTTTTTCACCCTGTGGATACCCCTAGCAGTGCTCGAAATAAGCGTTGTCCGGTTGTCCGAGACAACCAGAATTTGCGCCGGACAACCTAACCAGTCTGAGACATTGTTCTGTGGACAACCAAGAAAAATGTGACGAAAAATGCACTTTATTTATATTTTTCTGACCGCAAATTGAATTTCTTTCGGCTGTCGATCGGCCTGCATTGCATCCATAGCAAGTGTTGTTTCGCGCCTTCTCATTGGTCAGCAATGCCGTGTAATATGGGTGCTTTGGCCAATAAGTATGCGTTATCACAACGTTCGTAGCGACAACAAATTTGACTGTGTGGACAAGTTTCATCGGCGAGTAAACAGGTAACTACTTATCGATCACTACAAACGCTTTTTCTGAAGAGACAAATGACTTGTTGCTGGTAGATTTGTTGTGGCAGTGACGTAATCGAATCTGCCTGAGGTAAACATTGACTAACTGGACCGAGTGTGTCAGCGATAATAGAGGTATTCTATAGTTAGCCATGTCAAACCATTTTAAACTTATTAAAAATTAAAAATTAAACATGCAGTGAGTCAGTAAGTATAGCTGTTCCAGTTGTTAAGAATGATATCAATTTTGAAACAGACTTCTTAGAGTTGAGAAGAAAATTTTATTTTTTCATACAAAACGGATTCTATTCAAATGACAATGATTAAAGGAGCTTAGGTTTGGATTCTAGACAAAGTTCTTTGTTCCATTGGCATTGATTCAATGAGACCTGGAATACATTTTGCATGATATATTCAGTTGCAGCTTGAATTTTTCCTCCTGCCCCCTCCTCCTCCTCCATGACCTTCTTCATTCGATCTCCATCACCTTCTCCACTCCTCCTCCTCCCCCTCCTCCCCTCCTCCTCCTCCTCCTCTCCCTACTCCATCACCTCCCCTCCTCTTCCTCCTCCTCCTCTCCCTACTCCATCACCTCCCCTCCTCCTCCTGCCCCCTACTCCTCCTCCATGACCGTCTTCATTCGAACTCCATCACTTTCTCCGCTCCTCCTCCTCCCCTCCTCCTCCTCCCCCTACTCCATCACCTTCTCCCCTCCTCCTCCTCCTCCTCCCCTCCTCCTCCCCCTACTCCATCACCTTCTCCCCTCCTCCTCCTCCTTCTCCTGCCCCCTACTCCTCCTCCATGACCGTCTTCATTCGATCTCCATCACCTTCTCCGCTCCTCCTCCTCCCCTCCTCCTCCTCCCCTTACTCCATCACCTTCTCCCCTCCTTCTCCTCCCCCTGCCCCCTACTCCTCCTCCATGACCGTCTTCATTCGATCTCCATTACCTTCTCCGCTCCCCCTCCGCGCCATTTAGTATCCAGTCATATGAGTCACACTGCAATAATATTATTATACATCTGAATGATCTGATCATAAGTGGACCAATTGATATATAATAATATTATTGCAGTATGACTCATTAAGTATGAGTGAATACCCTGAAACCCGATGCCTTGCATTTTTATAAACCAAATTTTTTTTGCTAATGTCAAAACTCATGCAAAAGAAGATTAACTAGTCACGATGACCATCCTGATTCATGCAAAGTATTATAAGTTTACAGGTTGAAATAAAATAAATTTAAAGATATCACTCCTACAGTATGTTTTGTGGCATTTGGCGTAGTTGAAGGGGGGAGTGGTGATCCATGTTGATCAGAGTAAAAAAAAGAATTGTTCTACTAAAAAGAGAATTGTCGTAGTCAGAATGATACATGTACTCAAAGGTGCTGCAAATACCATCTCCTGCAATCTACATTTTCAAAATTTTCTGGGGGAAGACCCACATACCCCCCGCCTGTTTTTCACCCCCCTCCTTGGAATCCTAGACCCGCCACTGAACAATTACATATCTTGGGAGCAGAGAACAATGAACAAAAATGTCGCCTTTTCGCATGGCGCCCAAAACAATGATGGCAGAGCTGAGAGGTAGACCGTAGGGTGTGGAGAGGGAGGCAGAGGAGCCATTAAAATATTAAGTCATCCACTATTTTGCGCAGTTCGCTGTTTTTGGTCCCCTTGTTAAAAAATCCTGGATACGCCACTGTTTTCTGATCATATTAATTATTATGTAATTGAAAATAGCAGATTTGGGGATATTTCGATCTCCATCACCTTCTCCACTCCTCCTCCTCTTCCTCCCCCTACTCCATCACCTTCTCCCCTCCACCTCCTCCTCCTCCTGCCCCCTACTCCTTCTCCATGCCCGTCTTCATTCCATTTCCATCTCAGGGGCAGGTACGTTTATGTAAACACAAGGTACATATATATGCTGAGAAGATACAGGTCTGGTACACTTGTGTATACATATACGTACCTCGGGTACATATCTGTAGTACCTGATACGACAAACCCTAACCCTAACCATATCAAATAGTTACCAGTTACAGCACAGGGTACGTTCCGGTATACCGGACCGCACCCAGGGTACGTTCCGGCAGTACCCTGGGGGACATGGACCCTATGATTAATTCGAGCTCTAGTAACTATAGCCCGCGTACGGTTTCCGCTGGCAGCTGGCGGCTTGCCAGCGGAAACCGTACACGGGCTATAGTTACTAGAGCTAGAAATTGAGTAGCACAAACTGGAGAACCCTATGTTATCTATAGTAATAGAAACCTTTATTAGGCGTTGACATCATTTACTTGTCTCACAATGGCACAGAAATTACGTCGATCATAACAAAGGATATAGCACGGAACATGGCGGCCTCCGAGAAATCACCTCATAACCTCATAAGTGATAATCGATGATAGATCCTTATAGATATTAGACTTTAGATTAGAGATTAGAGATTGGATATTAGACTAGATATTATAATCGATGATAGATCCTTGCATGTGCTCCTCCGACTTGGATTCGGGCAGAATTCCTTTGTTTGAAAATCAATACTGCCCCACGTACGGGCGTCACTGTGAAAGCCACCTTCCGACACTATCCGAAAACTATGCCGCCGTAACAAATGTATAAACAATACGGCTACTTGCACGTAGTATTTGAAGCAACGAAATCTGATGCTTGGTTTTCATTTATAATCAAAGATATGATGTTATAATTAAACGTACCTCTAACGATGTCCTGTAACGTTGGTCCTACCGATTGCAATGCGTGACGCGTGACGAGTCTGCGTCTGCTGTTGTTGCTGCTACTGCTGCTGCTGCTGATGATGATGATGCTGTTGGTTGTGCTGCTTGCTACTGATACTACTACTATTGCTACTGTTGCTACTGCTACTACTACTACTATTGCTACTGTTGCTGCTGCTACTGATGAAATCACTAGTACTTCTGCTGTTGTTTGTAACCGCGTTTTAAACGAGCGTCAGCAACTGAAGAACGAAAGACACGAAATGGTTTCCCATTAATTTCTGAGCGTTGCGAGAAGACCGGGCGTGGGCGGGGCGTGCACGAACGAGTCCGCGCGCATAATACAAGACCCTGTAATGACAACCTACTAGCTGCGTGTACGAAAACCCACCCTGCCATGACCCAATTCCCTAGCCGTACCGGTCAAACACGTCGGGTTTGTCTATATTCAGGCCGGTACGGGAGATTACAGTACGCATATATTTGCTAATATATTGACTAATCGTGCGTCAATAAACCAAAGAGCTTAGAATGATTCTAAGCTCTTTGAATAAACTCAATATTCACAGAGAGTATAGCTAAGACATGTGTCTATAGGTATCTAGAATATATTATGCAAATGATCTCCGGACCCGTACCGGCTTGAATTCATATACTCTCTGTGAATATTGAGTTTATTGACGCACGATTAGTCAATATATTAGCAAATATATGCGTACCGTAATGCGCACATGCCCGCACATGTCCACATGTCCGCTGGCCAGCGGCTAGCGGGCTATAGGATAGGCTATAGGCTATAGTACTAGGGATACCTGAACAGATGCCCGGCAACCGGCATATATCTGACGGCTGCCGGGCAGCGAAATTTTTTCCCCCACTTGAGTTCCGGACCCACCATAGATAGTGTTTTGTAATATATGGTTCGTACAGGCCCGTAGCCAGGGGGGGTTCGGGGGGTTCGAACGAACCCCCCCCCCGAGCCCCCTCCCACCAAGCCAAAAAAAAAATTTGTTGAAAATTTGCAAGAATTTCACCTCAGGTCGCTCCATTTTAGTGTAATAATTGCAAAATCTCCATCGTGCGGGAGGGTGAACAGTGAACACCCCCCTCCCACACCCTCCCCCGCTTGGTCGCTTGGCTCCCTCGCCTGGTCGCTTCGCGCCCGAGCAGGGGCGTGTACAGGGGGGGGTCCAGGGAGTCCGGACCCCCCCTTGCTCGCGCAGAAAACGCATCTGAGGAGGTGTAATTTAAAAAAAAATTCTGGGGGAGGCCCCCCAGATCCCCCCTTCGCGTGTTCGCAACTTTGGGTTACGGTTACACCCCCCTGGTACAAATCCTGTACACGACCCTGCCGAGCAAATTGCCAACATTAAAAAACGAACCCCCCCCCAATATAAAGCTGGCTACGGGCCTGGTTCGTATATATATATGGTTGGATTATAGTTAGTGTTAGGGTTAGGGATAGCTAGGTTGCATTTTACATTGTTGCTTCGAGGAAGTCGAGTGAATGGAGTGCGCTGATTGGCTGTGGTCCGGAACTCAAGTGGGAAAAAAAAATTCGAAATTTCGAAATTTTTTAATAATTATCTTATTATTTTTTTATTAATTTATAATTTATTAAATTTGTTATTAATGCTATTGTTGGACAAATAGTATTTGACGCCGCGCGAAAGACATTTTATTATGTTTAAACTATTCCTCGAAAGCACATACTATCGAATGATTTGATATGAAACATAACAATTATGCAGATACCTCACTATAACAATTATATGTGGCCACTATACCCTTACCTCCTTGTAATGTAAATGAAAGTGTCAATGACACTGTAGCTCACCACAAAAATGGACACAAATGAGTGAGTGAGAAGAAGTCAGTTTTAATTGAGCAACCATTATATACACTTGATAATTATGTGTAATTTTTTTTAATGTGAAAATAAATGTTTGAGATGAGGGCGAGTGATGGCGTTACACCTAAATGATCGCCATTTAACGTTTTTATAATATTCAGATTTAGGCACTGCCTAAAAGCGGAGCTCCCGATGTGTAACGCGTAAGATTGAGAGGATACGCTTATTCCACGTAGCTGCTATATACCACGTGACAATGGTGTTTCCCTGCCCATAACACAACTTTTGTGAAAGTTTAATTGGTTGCATGGAAGTGTTTACTTCGTATGAGTTTTTCTAGGCGGTAGCACACGGTTGCCATCTGTATATCGCAATAATAATTTACAAACCAAAATGAATCACAATTTGTGACGGTAGATGGCGCTATACCCGCTTTGATGTTTCTTAGCGATGGCGTTCGAAATAAATAGGTTATGCTGCGTTCCGACATGTCTTGTAAAACTTTACTCTAATATAGACGTTTTATCGGCAGGGTGGAGAGGAAATACCAATTTTGCATTAAAGATAGTCAATGAAATCTTGTAAAACGAACCAGACGAGTGTGACACCACAGACTGTTATCTGCGTGTCTATATTATAATATGCTATATAATTGCCAAAACCTACCTAATTTGCATAAAAAAAATTTAAATATCAAAACCCCTAGCCCTTATTCATTCACATACTAAAAATGAGCAAAATCCGTTGAACCTGAACTGACTAATGGCAATTCCCATTTTTGTCAAAAAATTGTCATGGCTCGAAAGTACGTCGACTGGCGTGCTCCAAAATAGGACGTTCAATATGGGAGCATAGCAGTAACAACTATACCCAATTTCAAACATGTGGGTCAAACGGTTCCTGAGTTATCGTTGACCGTAGCCAAATGTTGACGGACGGACGTACGACGGACGATGACCCATGGCAATAGCTCAGCTTGACGATGTCAAGGTGAGCTAAAAAGAGAGAACAGATTAACGTGTGATAAATTTTGATCCATATGTCTCACTTCTTTAATTCATGGACCACCTGGCTTCATCCTATCTCAATTCCCAGCAGCTCGAAATGAAATTATGCCGACGTTTATGTGCCACTGGTCGGCGCTAGTATCGTGCATGAAAAACGATGTATATATGAAGGCAAACAAAACATTAAATATTTTGTTGCCAATATTAATTTAAACTGGAGAAAATACTCTTCAGTAATTTCATATGAAAAAATACCACTGTCTCACAATGTTTTACAAATGCGCAGTGTCTCCAACTTCCTTGCAAGGTGACGTAGCTTATCACGCCAGATCTCGGTTCACGAAAATATCTGCTAAAAGCATTATGTTCTCAAGATTATGGGTTCAAAATGGAGAACGCAGACTCACGGGACGGTTTTATGCAGAAGATTTAAATCCTAATTTCTTACATTATAATTTCTAAAGCACCCTGCCTTCGCGACATCTCATCCGAATAAAATGATACAGACATTTTTCAGTCGTTGATTGGCGCTAGTAACGCGTATAAAAAATGGTGTATTGCATCGAATGAAATACATAGTATTTTGTAGAAATTATTAGAGACACATATACAGAGGGCACACATGCTCTCGAATGCTTTGATATGAAACATAATAATATAACTACCTCATAACTAATACTAAACATTAGTTATATTGCTAATTACAAAATTTAGAGTATAAAATATATAAACGAACTTTGTTTTGCAATGAATTCATGCACAGATACATATATATGCAATAGATGGTAGGAAATAAAAAATTCATATATTAGTGGTCACTGATGTAGTGCATATACACTTATATACACAGTGCATAATACATAGTCACATAGGTAATGCATATATTCACTGATCTTGTCAACTCCTATCCGTCCTTCCTATAATGGAAAAGACGTAAATAACAATTGAACTATCGTCGCTCCTATCATGGCACAGTTTTAATAATTGTAACATAACTTTATAGAGTAAATAACGCCTATATATAGTTTTCACCTAGTAAAATCTCTGCACATTATACGATTGCGCTAAATTCCCACAATACTGTTCACTAGTTGTTGCTGTTCCCCACTATGTTCTTGAATTTGGAACATCAGTGGTGGCTCTATTTGTACAAACTGCACATCTTCAGTGAAGAATATCATAGCTTCTCCTGCACTGCTCATCTCTTGTAAATCTTGCGTAACAACACCATCATGTACCAATAGTTCCTCACCACTCTGACAGATTTTCACACCGAATTCCGAGACATCCAGTGCTGGTTGCTTCAAAACATTGTCTACGTGACATCCCACTGGCCTTGCTCTACCTCTTTTGGTTTTTACATCATTAGTTTTCTATAGGGCTTGTGATTTCGCTGGGCCTGCTTTTACGTGTGGGCTAGCACACGCAATATTAACTGGAGCAGCGGTTTCCATCAGCTTTGTCTTGTGGGAAGCCATGCACGAAGCCATATACGTGTGTCGCTTAAGCCTCTCCTTTTGCGCAAACCCTTTGTTGCAGACATCACACCTTTAAAGCAAAAGTCAGCAATGTTTGAGAGCGGCCTAGTATTAGATATTTTTTACCAATATTTACTTGGCCCAATGAATTTCAATAATGGCTACTGTAAGTAAAGAAAAAACTGTATCACGTACATTTATTCTTTAACTACATGAAACTTTATAGGAGCTGACGCTCTTTGAATTATGTTCACTGCCTCACAATTTTACCTATATCGTGATTCAGCCCACTCTAAGTATGTTATACATACCAATAGGTGAAACGCTTAGTGTGTGATGTCACCCTGTGACTCCTCAAGTACTCTCTCCTCGAGAACTGCTTGCCACAGACGTCACAGATCAGAGCCATGTGCGCTTTCTCGTGCCACTCCAGGCGTCTTTTGCTTCTGAACACGCTGCGGCAGTGCTTGGACACGGTGCAAGCAAACCACTTGTCAGGCTCATGCTCTCTGAGGTGATAGCTGAATGCAGGTACGTAACATCAATTAACAACTGCTTGTGATGAGACATCGATAAAAAGATGACAGTAATCTAAGCAGGAATACTAGTAATTCCACACTGCATGCCTAATCTGCACTGTTGACAATTAATAGAATAACTGACACCTTGTGTCGTTTATAAATACATAACCTTGTCCAATTAAATTTCTGGATACTAATAAAAAGTTAAAATAAAAACCATTTGCATTTATTGCTGTTGTTAACATGGCAACCGTCAAAACGGATTTAACAGAGGTGCCTGTACCATGAATTTTTCCCATGCCTGCTCGCCCATGTGCACGTTTGGCTCGTTACTGATGTCAGAAAACAAGGAACACCAATCTTTGCTGCTCCTACTAGTATTGGCTTGGAATCACTGATGTTGTTTATAGACTTGTTGCGGGGTAAAATTCAGACCTAATTTTGAGCTCGGTTGTTGATAGACAACATTTGCAAGGTAACCAGCATTGAAATTGAAATGAAAGTGTCAATGACACTGTAGCTCACCACAAAAAAGGACACAAATGAGTGAGTAAGAAGAAGTCAGTTTTAATTGAGCAACCATCGACGTACATTATAGAAACGATTGCCATCTGTATATCGCAATAATAATTTATAAACCAAAATGAATCACAATTTGTGACCGTAGATGGCGCTATACCTGCTTTGTAGCGATGGCGTTTGAAATAAATAAGTTATGCTGCGTTCCGACATGTTTTGTAAAATTTTACTTTAATATAGACGTTTTATCGGCAGGGTGGAGAGGAAATACCAATTTTGCATTAAAGATATTTTCAATGAAATCTTTTAAAACGAACCAGAGGAGTGTGACACCACAGACTGTTTGTGTCTATATAATATGCTATATAATTGCCAAACCCTACCTAATTTGCATAAATTTTGTTTAAATATCAAAACCCCTAGCCCTTATTCATTCACATACCAAAAATGAGCGAAATCCGTTGAACCTGAACTGACTAATGGCAATTCCCATTTTTGCCAAAAAAACACCGTGGCTCGAAAGTACGCCGACTGGCGTGCTCCAAAATAGGACGTTTAATATGGGAGCATAGCAGTAACAACTACACCCAATTTCAAACATGTGGGTCAAACAGTTCCTGAGTTATCGTTGACCGAAGCCAAATGTTGACGGACGGTCGGACGGACGGACGACGGACGACGACCCATGGCAATAGCTCAGCTTGACGATGTCAAGGTGAGCTAAAAATGTAGGTTCATGATGAGGGAAATATTATCATGAGCAGAAGAGCAAAATTATGGAAATCATACTATAGAAGCAAGAGTAAAATTATACGAATGCACAGTTTTACCTTCCTTCCTAAATAACAGTGAAACATGGACTTAAAGGAAGAAGTAAAAATGTTGGAGGATTTCGAAAATGAGTGCCTGCGCAAAATAATAATCACGCAGAAAACGCCGAAAATGCATCGCATCGGCCCAAACTCCATGACAGATGGCGCTTTCGCTCATGGGCTCAATCTACGAGTATCCTGAGTGTTCAAAGATGCACTGCATGCAGTTTGGTATCGGTCTAGACTGGTACCCGGTCGACAGTTCCACACGCTACACTAACAGCGTCAGTGTAGCGAAGGATACTTGCCGGAGTAAAGGTGGCGAACGGGTACCAGTCTAGCATCGGCCGGGCATTTCATTATTTACGAAAAGTAAACACAGTCGGTATAGGAACTGGTCACGTCGGTGACGCCCCATTCATGCCCATTAACGAAGAAGGCAGGGCTTATTCTGATTACGGAGATGCGAAAATGCAACAGAAGTACGTAGCGCAGTGCGCTAAACGGCGTGTTATTTTCGTTTTTGTGCCAAACTCTATCGTAGGAAACTGTTCTAGCCTAGCAGAATGCCCTAGTTCCTGAGATCGGCGATTTGGTACTGTGATGGGTCCCCACCTATAAATATTTCAAAGGGAGGTGCGGCGTAGGCTGTGATTGGAGGACACAAAGTGTCAAACCTCGGCTCGCTTTGGCATCATGGCCGCATCACGTCTAGTGTGAAAACTGAGATGACCATACCACATTAGAGCAGGTTCGCTTTATGAGATAGCTGCCATGTATATGCACTGATGCGAATGTGCAGAAAACACTAATATGACACAATTATACAGAGATGATGTAAAAATGGGTTTGTATAAACATGGACACATGTGTAGAATATGTATCTATAGTCTATACATACGTTTTATCTACACACGCATTCAATTTCAAGAGTGAATGAAAACACAAAACTCGTTTTTATTAACTCCTGACATATCCATGGTACAAATAATAGCTGTGCTATTCCTTAGTATTCCTTAGTCGTTTTTTAGTATTTGATTTCCTGGTAGAGTAGCTACGACATGAATTTGCATATGGTATGTACCACAACTTTGGTGTAGTAATTATAAATACATTGTACAAGGATGTGTTATTATGATGCTGGTGAGAATGCCTGTAAAGTTATTAAATGCTGTACTCACCGCAGCTTGGATTTGAATGGAAAAACCTTCTTGCAGTACTTGCACTCTCTAGGATTTATAAGTTGGTGGACAGTGACCTTGTGTTTCCAAAGTCCTGTCATGCTCTGAATCACCTTACCACACACCTGTCATTAAAAGTAGCCCACATAATTACAATCAAGACTGACAAATCCTTCATACATCATGTTAATCAACTAAAAGCCCTGCCGTGATACATGCAAACATATTAAAGTTTAAACTGAGTTCTGTAAGTATAAACTCCCATTTGGGCTCCAATTGTCCCTCAGGATAATTTTGCATAGATTTTCTTAGGCTGTGTTACATAAGACAGAAACAAACTAACATATGTCTAAACAACGGTTTTTAATAATGGAATTACGATTAGGTTAACGTTAGGGTTGAGCTTAAGAAGACGTCGATGAAGATCTATGCTTGAGCTATGCGTGCACATCTGCATACATGTACACACAAGCCCACATACTGTCCACTTTGCAAGAAAAAAGAAGGCTTGCCTCGCAGATCTGTGAAGTCTTGCGGTGCTCACAGCTCTTGTGACAGTGCAGTTGCTTCTTCGAGATGCTCACATGCTGGCACATGTCGCACGGGTAGTAGTGCCTGTCACTAGCCAGGTGTGTCTGCATTGCTAGTCTCCCAAAGTTCTGCCTGCACAGCGGACACTGCCAGCCCCCGGCCTCCTTCAGCTTATTCTCACTGCATTTACATAACAACAGCATGTCTGGTCTGCCCCACATGTGAATGTCATGATTACAAGTTGATATGGCAGTATTACCAACATCCTGATAGAGTAAAAATTCACTACCTAATAGTATCGATGCAAAACTGGGCGTTTTAGTAATTTTGGACTTATCTCACGTTACAACTCATGATGTACGCAAATTGTTACAATGAAATCTGCATTATTCATACACAAATCTTTTTTGCAACAATAATATATTATTATAATCATTTATCAATCTTACAGTTTTACTAATGGTACAGTTTCAACTTCACACTAGATGGCAGCAGGTGACAGCTTCACAGAAATAAATTCGATCATGGCACATAGGTCCAACGGAGGAGGGTAGTGAGAGATCCGACATGGGCTTAAGTATGTAGATATGCACAAGTGGTAATTTATATGAATCCTAGCCTCTATTCTTGTTTTCTGCGCTTTCCCAATTTTGGGCAATCTCTCTTCTCTGTTTGTCAAGCAGAGGTACTTCTTGTACAAAATGCTTGCTGCAGACCAGTCTAGGACGTGATAACTATGTGATCCGTGATAGTGTGTATTTCTCCAATGGTGGAATGGTGGGAGGCTAGGTGGGCTTGGATACGTGCCGATACCAAAAATTCCAAGAGTTACTCTATTTAAAAACTGGTAGTTTGCATGTGCTATCTGCTAGTAATAGCTGCAGGTGCCATCTCACTCTAATTGATCTTCTGTGTGCACTGATAAATTTCTCAGAGTGGTAGGACATTTGTGACCCGCTCCAGCATAACACGGACTAAGTCGCAAGTCATTGTTTTGAGTAATGAGCACGCACACATGTCAATGCTGAAAATGGCCTACCTGGACAAAATTTTTACAAAAATAAGTTCCTAAGTGCATATTTAATCTGGATATATAGGTTCAGATATCTCTAGATTATTATGGTCATTTTTAATTAAAAAAAAAAAAATATTTGAAGGGCCCCTGACAGCTCATCCCCGACTGGGCCTCTTACCCGGAACGCTTTATCTCAAAAGCTGCATATTCCGGAATAAGTCGGTTTCCGATCTTCAAATTGCTGTAGATCGGTCAATTCTTTAGATATAGCCAAATATTATATATCATTTTAAAGGATTAAATTAAATGATCTATTCAGATATGCACATAACTCAATTTGTAGAATTTCCTACTTAATCCTGGTTTTGCTGGAGCTGGTCACATTTGTATGCCATACCAATGCCATACATTCGGATAGCTGTAGTAGAATTTAGACTACATAGGGGCTCTTTCACCGGCTGTCTGTTTCAGTAACTCCATGTCCAGGTTAACTGTCACCTACCGCCACCTGGTGACGATTTCAAGCAACGGACAGTAGGCCTAGAGCTTATCAAAAACAGCAGGGGGGGGGGGGCTTTTATCGAAACTGTTGTAGCCGTAAAATTTCAGGATTTACCGAGAGAGAAAAAACGAAATAGTATTTAAACATGAAATATGTGCCAGTGGCATCTGCAGTTCAACCAATAAAAAACTTATGCTTACCTATGTTCGATAGTAGACTGATGACGCTCAAGCTCCTTTTTCGTAAACACAACGACATCACAAATGTGGCAGCATGATAAACTGTTTGGTATGTGGCTCATTTGTTCTGAATGGTACCTAAAATGCAAAATAGACAATTGGGTTACATCAGATGTCAAATCATATACAAAAAATAACACACAAAAACTCCTTCATGGGGTAGTAAATGTCCCATGTGACTTTTTTTATAAAAAAGACTAAATTAAACATTTTATTTTAATGTTTATTTTAAAATTAACATCATCGTCATTCGTCATTTTCATTATTATTATTATTATTAAACTTTTTTATTTATTTTAACTTCAACATATTATCTAATTTTTTGAAACTATCATTTTATTAACTAAACATTTTTATTCCAACGGTTTCAACAATACCTGTATTCATCAACAATGGAGAAGCACTTTGAGCAAGCCGTTAGAAGACACTTAAAATGAAGTTCTCGGTCATGAACTGCCTGCATGTGTTTTTCATATGAACCAAAGCCTAGTTATAAAGTAAAAAGAAATGTGTTAGGATTAGATTTTCACAGGCTTTTACTTTTTTGTAAACTTTTATGACAGAATTCTTGCAATTGCAAAATGAAATTTTTCTCCTTCCAGTGTAGATGGTTTTAAACCACTCTGTAACTGGATGATGCAAAATTATGAATTGTACAACTATAAGTTTGATTATGAAACGTAAATGCATTGATTCTATATTTTAAATATAAACGCTATGGATTCTTTGCTTCTTGAGATGAAGAAAATATCTTTAGAAGCATATAATAATATAAACGAACCACATTCGCATTCTAGTAGCGAAAATAAACATGAATCTATTGTATAATACAAAATAAAAACATTTTGAATATCCTTATTGGGTAGCACTTTGTATACAAATTGGCATATGTAACATAAAAACAAGTTTATACCAACTATAAGCTTGTTACAGTCAAAACAGAACCACCGCCTTCTGTACAAGATGGACAACTCTTGATTATCTGCAATCTCCAAAGGAACTGCTACACTCCCTGTGTCTGTAAATGTAATACAATCCACACATACATTAGATGCACAATTTGCAATTTTTGCAATTTTTGCAATTGCTCACTTGCTACTCTTGCTAGAAATACACCTCATGTAACATGCGCTGCTTTTGTTTAAACCAAGGAATGTTCCTGGGGGCCGTTGTCAGAAACAAAATTAGTCGCAACATTAGTCTTACCATTAACTTCCACTCGTAAACCGTTGACAGAAACATCGTAAGGTTACGAGAACGAAAAATCGTCGCAAATATCCTCATAACATTACGAGAGCTCAGACCCTCTCGTAATTAATATAAAGTTGAAAATAACACATTTACACTACGAATTACAATTATAGTGATATTATATTTTATAATAATGAATAAAATGTGTGTTTTTCTTGAAAAACACGTCAAAATCATTAATTATTTACCGCTAATAAAACAAAACAATACATTTACAAATGGCGTATGGCATTTGTTCTCTTGTTCTAAAGGTTTTCCACGCTTGCCACGACTCTCGTGTCTCACGTTACAGTGTGAGAATTTGTCTTGTTGTGCATTGATTCATGACCACGTCGTTTTTCATCAAATATTATTTATATGTGGTTAGCCATCATAATATGCATAAATTACTGTGATGTACAATAAATGTGTATGAATTTGAATTTTGTGATTGATTCTCATCCAATCAGCAGCCTTGTGATGAAGTTCCTGTTATCGTAAGTTTTCTAATAGCTGCGATTGTGGGACCGGGTACCAGTCTATGATATTACCACAGACAACGGATACCGAAGATCATACATTGCATACATTTGCATACATTGTATATGATCTTTGCGGATACGCAGACTGGACGAAACCATTGACGAGACGAAACGCCAAAATAGTGTAATGCAATCATAGAGTTATATATTAGACCCCATAGATATAGAGTTATATATTAGACCCCAAATATACATAGAGTTGCATATTTATCAGGAGTACATAATAGGCCCTGTGTGCCTGGGCTGTGTGCCCTGGGATTATGAGGATATTTTGCCATAATCAGGCTTCTGATATAAGGAAGCACATGGCTTGAAACGTGGTTTCGGTAATGCGTGTTGGTCGCCACGTACGTTACAGCATAAAAAATACGCCTATTATGTACTCCTGATATTTATACAACTCTATGAATGCAATTGAATGGTGGCGCCGCCCAGCGAATGAAGCGGTACACTAAAAATCTGGCTGTGGTGACAGACCGTGGATGTGTAACGTTGGAACTATGATCCTATGGAACTATATTGTTATATGATATCTATGGTTGGAACATTAAAACGTCTCTATCGTTAATTCTAATATTTGGACTAGAGTTTAATTATACATTCCTGAATCTAGAAGGTCAAATGTTAGTCTTCAAGTAGATTTTGCTCTATTAAACGGCTATACATTTATTTTTACATGCAAAACGATCATCCACACCGTATCACAGACGAATGCACAATACACACAATACATGATGATGATCACAATGCGTAATGTGCACACGGTATACTGTGCTACAGTCGTAGTTTAATTTATTCTTTAGTCTGCAACCGGATTTGGTAAGTTTTTTTTTTTTTTCTACAAACAATAAAAATAATATAGACAATATAATTTCCATATTTTTTACTCAAATACCATTAATCACATTTATTGCGAAGAAGCTTAATCACAAGTGCTTGAGCTTCATTGGCTGTCTTTTAACCCGTCACTGTCGGCTCTTCTTATGTTGCAGATCCACTTCCGAAGTCTATGTACATGATCATCTACATGTGTTATCTAATGATGTGGTGTATTAATTATTTACAAATTGCATATCGTTTTAACTGGTATTTTTCACAGAACAAAGGGCAGCAGAATTACACAGGTCATCCAACCAAGTAGTATTTTCCCTAACTTTTAACTGTTAGCTTCACAAGATTGTATCTTGTATTAGTTTACATTGATATTATGATTACATATGATCAAGAGTAGATAATAACACTGTGTTATTATCTACTCTTGATATGATTAAACAATCAATAAGTACAGTCTCTGTTCGTGTGCACAGTAGTCAGTGAGTCACTGCATCTGTCACTGCCGTCCTAACGAATTTATTATTTGCAAACGTATATAACATGCAACACGTGATAAATCTAGTACCTATCATGCTCTGTGGGAAACTTTAAAAACGCTATATCTGGGTTTTTCTTCCTTGAATTGGAACAATTTCCTGCACTGCAATAACCGCCAGCTGATGCTATTTTGAGTAGTTGACCGCTTCATTCGCCAGGGGCAGCACCATCGAAACGCTTAACAAGCAGGGTATACGAAGTGTCCTGTCAGTGTATATTACTAACTGAGCTGTATAATTATAATTATTAATACGGAACATGCTGAATAATTTCATACATGAAAATATTTTTAAACCCATAGAAAGGCATACATACATACATATTCACCCAGTGGCGTAGACAGGTCCTCAGTTCTGTGTGTGTGTGTGGGGGAGGGTTACTTTACTTCCATCACAGTGTGAGTGCGAAGAGTGTGCGAGTAGCGCACACCGCGAGCGTCTTGGCACGAAGCCCTTAACGGGTGGGGCCCCGGGGCCCGCCCTAGGGCCCCTGGCGGGGTGCAGGGGCAGAGCCCTTGCCTGTGGTCCAGGGGGCGGAGCCCTCTTGGATTTTAGCAATTTAGAACCTTCAACATGGCCGTTTTTGAAGGAATTGAAAAAAAATTGAAACTGTAATTAAGTGCAATATTTGTGAATTCTAGGGTTATTTTTTGTTTGGATTCCAGAGGTTTAATAACACGCAACACCCCCTCCCCCCACCCACCCACACACACACACACACAACCAGTGGCGGATCCAGAAGTGAATTCTAGGGGGGGAATCATGCGAGCTCAAGGGCACGAAGTGCCCACGGGGAGGGTTTTGAGGGGGTATCCCCCTCCTACTGTATGGAATTGTTAAAAAGTTGAATTTAAAAACAATCAATTTTGGACATCTTTATCATAAAATATCAGGAGATTTTTTCCTCTTTCAGAGGGGTATCCCCCTCCTGTTTAGGGGGGTCGGGGGGGACCTCCCCCGGAAATATTGTTGAAAATAAAATCTCTTTGATGCAATTTCCTGTACTCTGAGGCAGCATTATTAAAGTGATTACGTCACCGTAAATAATAAAAAAATAAATAAAAAACCACTTTTTCACAAAATACAAGTGATTCTGTTCACTTTTTATGGTTAAATTGCTGCATTATACTTCTTATTTTACTATATTGTTCGATGTGATTTTCTAATAGCTGCGATGTGTTTCTGTCAACGCTAGTCTCGCAACATTAGCATTAGTCGTAAGTGTTATCGTAGCATTAACTTTAGCATTAACTTTACGATGTTTCTGACAACGGGCCCCTGGTTCTAGGCTGAGAATATAGATAGATGGATGGATGGATGGACGGACAGACAGACAGACGATAGATACACAGATAGATGAATACAGATACATGTATACATACACATACAGATACCTTCATTTGATTGAGACTCTGGTTCTTCATGAGTGTTTGAAGTATAATGGTTGTGATCAACACTGGGTAACCTTGCACAATTACTGCTCCTCTCTACCCACGACTTGTGCATCATGTTGTAATGCCAGACGATATGAGCACTGTTATCGTACTGTTTCCAGCAGATGAAGCAAGTCAAGTCTTCTGATCCTCGTACAGTTCTTAGATTACGGGGCACAACTTTCACACCCGTTATAAGAGATCTGGAAGACGAGGAGGTTACATTTGCATTACTGAGGAAAACAGACGTTACTGTAGTAGACCTGATTGACGTTCCCATGTGACCAGATGACACCGCAGATACCACGACAGGTTTGACAGGTGCCAATAGAGACGCCATGGAAGTGTCAACGTGATCAGATGCCACTGTACAAAGCATCATCGGTCCATTCGATCTCATTCCAGAGGTTTCGACGCTGTCTTCGTATGTAGAAGTCACGGCAGGCGCAACAGTTGCTGCCACAGAACTGGTTTCATGTATGTCTAATCCTGCATCTGTCCCACATTGCCTTAAGGCAGCACCTGTGTTATCACTCAGCGTAGGGAAATCCTGCAATTCACTTAACTGTGGCTCATCACTGCCAAGGAATGTCAGAGCATTACAATCAGCACTGATACTCTCACGGGTTAGCTTATTTATTAAATATGAACGCACAGGGGGAATTTCTAGTGCCTTGTTTTCAATGCAGCAGGCATCGTTCACAGTACGACCAAATGTCTTGGCTACATCAGCGAATGTCTCTGTTACATGTTTAACAAACTCGGCGCCCTGCTTCATGTTTGCAGCAAGAACGAGATTTCTTGCTGATGACGTTTGTGCGTTTGGCTCTTGAGAACACTCCGCCCTTATAAGCAGCTGTTTCAGAATTCCTAACCATTTCGGAACGCGGGAGATCTCTGAACGATCTGGCAGCCCTTCAGTGTCATCAGACACCAGCTCCGACAGCCCAGTCCACGTGGTGGTCGATGGATAGCGGCCACCAGCAATCGTGCTTAGCTTCTCGTCCATCAGACCGACGCAGCGCCAACGCGAGTCTGTGAAATGGAACGGCACCAATTCCTCAGGGAGCGCGGCACTGCACAGAGAACACTTCAGCTGCTTGCTGCAGCCACCTGTCCTAACAAAGTGCGACAGAGCATGGTGAGCAAACTCAGGAGAGTCAGAATTAAGTGAAGCCAGGCGCACGCAGCAGACCGGGCACTTTCCCTGATGCGTATCCACGACGTGTTTTCCTATGCTCATCGCCGAGGTGTCGGTCTGGCGGCAGTGCTCACAAGCAAAGCTGTCAATTGCCGCCGACCTGAAATGTACGACTTCATAGTGTTGTTCGAGCTCAACTGGTCCTCGCGGCTCGGTAACACCACAAACACTGCAAACACTTGGATCGCTGCTCTGAAGTTCACACACAAACTCTGTTCGTTGTTGATGGATGTTCAGCAAGTGCATTTGAAGGAATAGCGTCGAGGGAAAGATCTGCCGACAGTTCGGGAATAGACAACAAACAGCCTCGCATTGTGTCTGCTTATCACATTCCTCCGCCACAGCATCTGTAGAGATTTCAGATTTCAGGGGCTGCTCTAGCGAATCGGACAAGTCAGAGCTTCTTTTATGCCCCGTCATTATTCTTCCCAGGGAGATAACTACCTCTTTTACGAGCACAGCCACATTCAAATTATGGCATTTGTTATAGTGAGTGTGAAGAGCATTGATGCATGTGAATTTTGTAGCACATTGCAGCACGCAGTTGAATTCCTGCTCCGTCAACGAAAATCGATGATAGCGGAATTCCATGAAACGTGTCCTGGACATGAAAATGTGGCTAAGAGGATTCTCAGTTTCGATTTGAAGCAGCCACCATTTCGAATTATTCATGGCGTAGCAATGCTCCTGTGTGATCGTTAGAGGCAGCATCGGTAAGGGCGCGATTCGCCCCACAGTCGTTTGTTCTCGTGATTCTGTGATGCTGTTGGACGCGATTGAGCTTGTTTCCTCGTTGCTGACTTCGTACACGCGACCACGCTTCAAGCCTAGCATGCACCCTCGCTTAGCTGGCGATGACATCGCTGTCAAGGCTGTATGACCTGGTAATTCATCTCCTTTCTGTAACCGTTTACTGATGTCATTGAGCCCATCAGCTGGTTGAAGGTGATCATGATACACTTCCAGGTCCTGGGAAGGGTTCTGCAAGCACAAACGGTCTCCAATAATTACCACTGGTAATATACTTAATCATGAAGCAATTTTACAAGTACACTCTACTGAAAATAAATAAGTTTCTATTATTAAATGATATCCAACCCATTTACATTTGTCAACATGTGCAGTCCTCACTTGACATTGCCACCCCAGCAAATATCGTTTTGTTATAACATTGCTATTCTTTAGATAGATCCATGATTGAAATTACTTTTTTTACGACCCGGCTGATGCCTTATAACGTTGTCACCTAACACGGACTATTTGTATGGCGTGGGGAGAAGAGTGGCTAGAGGATCCCCCTTACCGGTCTCACCGACTTTCCAGCTTCCTGCCAATCACCCACCACCTCTCCCCCGAGTCCCCCCCCCCAATCAATTCAAAAATATTTTATTATATACCTTTAATGAAACTTTAATTTAGCTTATCTTTTTGGATGTATAATATATTTTCTAGGCCGTGGCTACGTGTCCGGTTACCGGAAGCGCAGCTACCAGGCTACGCGTCCGGTCATATATTTCTTATGTGTGAACCCAACTATATTTTTTCAGTAAAAAACCCTAAACAAGTTTTTACCATAATATTACTTACCTTTCGATATTTTATTTAAAAAATGTGTTTTTGTAACTTTTAAAGCAATAGTAAATCCAGTAAAATCAACGATTTGAAAGGCGGCGTGGCCTAATCGTGACTATCAGCTTATTAAGCCTATCAGCTTTGTAATGGATGACCGGATGCCTAGCCACTGCCTATTTTCTATTCAACTCCTCCATTGAATTTATGTGTGTAATGTATTCTATGAGGGAACAGGGGCTATACATGTGACATCATTATAATGCATGTCTCGTGGGAAAAATTGATTTGGTTCAGTGTTTCACCTGGCCAAAAAGGTCTGAGGTGGTAAATGTTTTTTTGGTGTTTCCACATTTTGAAGTCCGGGAATCCGGGGGGGGGGGATTCTGCCAATATGCCACCCCGGAAAATTGTTGAAAAAATTATGAAATTTGGTGCATTCTAAGCTATTCCGAACACATTGCACGAGACTCTTAATGGAAGAACAGTGATTTTCGTCAGTGAGGTGATGTTTTGGACAAATCCCTGTGTGGCGGCTGAGAAAAATAATAAGACATTATATAAAGACATTATATAAGTATATAAATGTATTTGGCAATAATTGTATATAATATAATATGGCAATAATATGGTAATAATATAAATGTAAATGTATATAAATGTATAAATATATGTATATAAGTATATAAATGTATTTGGCAATAATTGTATATAATATAATATGGCAATAATATGGTAATAATATAAATGTAAATGTATATAAATGTATAAATATATGTATATAAGTATATAAATGTAACTGGCTAAATTTACATGCACACAAACTGTACACTTAGGAGGTGGGGTCAGCAGCTGTTACACCTGCATAGAAATACAAAAAATTTCAGGCCATAAATTTCTGCCAGTTCAAAAATCTAAATTACATTTTGTACATTTGGGTGGCAGTAATCACATGAAAAACTGTATGGTCTGTATGCTTATATGATATTGACAATTTTGAATTGCTTTTAATAATCTTACATATAGTCTAAAAAAGTGTTTGATTGACATACCTTGCAATTTCTTTTGTGTCTCACAAATGATGAAATATGATGATATACTTGTAAGCATCTTCCACATTGTAGGAAATCCATCACTAAATTGTATAAAAATACACCAATTTTTAGTTTGAATTTTATGGAGGAGCATCTGGCTTTATACCCTATTACCACTACTAATACAACAACTACATTTATGGCTGCTGCCCCCACTGCTACTGCTACTAGGGCTTATACTATCAAAGCTCCATAAAATAACTGTGACTAAAGGACAGGAGATCATTTGTTTCTGACAATTATTAACAGCAGTAAAAATGCCTTCAGGAGGTTATCCAATAAGCTCAGGCTTGTTCAAAATCAGATGCCTGCCTGTAATACAACTTGACTGAATTAAATTAAGCTGAGATGTTTGTTGTTGCAACACACAAAATGCATGCATCAATTTAATTGAATCTGATGATGTCAATATAAGTTATGCTGGGACCGAGAAACTGAATGACATGCATTTCAATACAATTATTTAGCATGAACAAACAGAATAATGAAAGTGTCAATGACACTGTAGCTCACCACAAAAAAGGACACAAATGAGTGAGTAAGGAGAAGTCAGTTTTAATTGAGCAACCATCGACGTACATTATAGAAACGATTGCCATCTGTATATCGCAATAATAATTTATAAACCAAAATGAATCACAATTTGTGACCGTAGATGGCGCTATACCTGCTTTGTAGCGATGGCGTTTGAAATAAATAAGTTATGCTGCGTTCCGACATGTTTTGTAAAATTTTACTTTAATATAGACGTTTTATCGGCAGGGTGGAGAGGAAATACCAATTTTGCATTAAAGATATTTTCAATGAAATCTTTTAAAACGAACCAGAGGAGTGTGACACCACAGACTGTTTGTGTCTATATAATATGCTATATAATTGCCAAACCCTACCTAATTTGCATAAATTTTGTTTAAATATCAAAACCCCTAGCCCTTATTCATTCACATACCAAAAATGAGCGAAATCCGTTGAACCTGAACTGACTAATGGCAATTCCCATTTTTGCCAAAAAAACACCGTGGCTCGAAAGTACGCCGACTGGCGTGCTCCAAAATAGGACGTTTAATATGGGAGCATAGCAGTAACAACTACACCCAATTTCAAACATGTGGGTCAAACAGTTCCTGAGTTATCGTTGACCGAAGCCAAATGTTGACGGACGGTCGGACGGACGGACGACGGACGACGACCCATGGCAATAGCTCAGCTTGACGATGTCAAGGTGAGCTAAAAATGTAGGTTCATGATGAGGGAAATATTATCATGAGCAGAAGAGCAAAATTATGGAAATCATACTATAGAAGCAAGAGTAAAATTATACGAATGCACAGTTTTACCTTCCTTCCTAAATAACAGTGAAACATGGACTTAAAGGAAGAAGTAAAAATGTTGGAGGATTTCGAAAATGAGTGCCTGCGCAAAATAATAATCACGCAGAAAACGCCGAAAATGCATCGCATCGGCCCAAACTCCATGACAGATGGCGCTTTCGCTCATGGGCTCAATCTACGAGTATCCTGAGTGTTCAAAGATGCACTGCATGCAGTTTGGTATCGGTCTAGACTGGTACCCGGTCGACAGTTCCACACGCTACACTAACAGCGTCAGTGTAGCGAAGGATACTTGCCGGAGTAAAGGTGGCGAACGGGTACCAGTCTAGCATCGGCCGGGCATTTCATTATTTACGAAAAGTAAACACAGTCGGTATAGGAACTGGTCACGTCGGTGACGCCCCATTCATGCCCATTAACGAAGAAGGCAGGGCTTATTCTGATTACGGAGATGCGAAAATGCAACAGAAGTACGTAGCGCAGTGCGCTAAACGGCGTGTTATTTTCGTTTTTGTGCCAAACTCTATCGTAGGAAACTGTTCTAGCCTAGCAGAATGCCCTAGTTCCTGAGATCGGCGATTTGGTACTGTGATGGGTCCCCACCTATAAATATTTCAAAGGGAGGTGCGGCGTAGGCTGTGATTGGAGGACACAAAGTGTCAAACCTCGGCTCGCTTTGGCATCATGGCCGCATCACGTCTAGTGTGAAAACTGAGATGACCATACCACATTAGAGCAGGTTCGCTTTATGAGATAGCTGCCATGTATATGCACTGATGCGAATGTGCAGAAAACACTAATATGACACAATTATACAGAGATGATGTAAAAATGGGTTTGTATAAACATGGACACATGTGTAGAATATGTATCTATAGTCTATACATACGTTTTATCTACACACGCATTCAATTTCAAGAGTGAATGAAAACACAAAACTCGTTTTTATTAACTCCTGACATATCCATGGTACAAATAATAGCTGTGCTATTCCTTAGTATTCCTTAGTCGTTTTTTAGTATTTGATTTCCTGGTAGAGTAGCTACGACATGAATTTGCATATGGTATGTACCACAACTTTGGTGTAGTAATTATAAATACATTGTACAAGGATGTGTTATTATGATGCTGGTGAGAATGCCTGTAAAGTTATTAAATGCTGTACTCACCGCAGCTTGGATTTGAATGGAAAAACCTTCTTGCAGTACTTGCACTCTCTAGGATTTATAAGTTGGTGGACAGTGACCTTGTGTTTCCAAAGTCCTGTCATGCTCTGAATCACCTTACCACACACCTGTCATTAAAAGTAGCCCACATAATTACAATCAAGACTGACAAATCCTTCATACATCATGTTAATCAACTAAAAGCCCTGCCGTGATACATGCAAACATATTAAAGTTTAAACTGAGTTCTGTAAGTATAAACTCCCATTTGGGCTCCAATTGTCCCTCAGGATAATTTTGCATAGATTTTCTTAGGCTGTGTTACATAAGACAGAAACAAACTAACATATGTCTAAACAACGGTTTTTAATAATGGAATTACGATTAGGTTAACGTTAGGGTTGAGCTTAAGAAGACGTCGATGAAGATCTATGCTTGAGCTATGCGTGCACATCTGCATACATGTACACACAAGCCCACATACTGTCCACTTTGCAAGAAAAAAGAAGGCTTGCCTCGCAGATCTGTGAAGTCTTGCGGTGCTCACAGCTCTTGTGACAGTGCAGTTGCTTCTTCGAGATGCTCACATGCTGGCACATGTCGCACGGGTAGTAGTGCCTGTCACTAGCCAGGTGTGTCTGCATTGCTAGTCTCCCAAAGTTCTGCCTGCACAGCGGACACTGCCAGCCCCCGGCCTCCTTCAGCTTATTCTCACTGCATTTACATAACAACAGCATGTCTGGTCTGCCCCACATGTGAATGTCATGATTACAAGTTGATATGGCAGTATTACCAACATCCTGATAGAGTAAAAATTCACTACCTAATAGTATCGATGCAAAACTGGGCGTTTTAGTAATTTTGGACTTATCTCACGTTACAACTCATGATGTACGCAAATTGTTACAATGAAATCTGCATTATTCATACACAAATCTTTTTTGCAACAATAATATATTATTATAATCATTTATCAATCTTACAGTTTTACTAATGGTACAGTTTCAACTTCACACTAGATGGCAGCAGGTGACAGCTTCACAGAAATAAATTCGATCATGGCACATAGGTCCAACGGAGGAGGGTAGTGAGAGATCCGACATGGGCTTAAGTATGTAGATATGCACAAGTGGTAATTTATATGAATCCTAGCCTCTATTCTTGTTTTCTGCGCTTTCCCAATTTTGGGCAATCTCTCTTCTCTGTTTGTCAAGCAGAGGTACTTCTTGTACAAAATGCTTGCTGCAGACCAGTCTAGGACGTGATAACTATGTGATCCGTGATAGTGTGTATTTCTCCAATGGTGGAATGGTGGGAGGCTAGGTGGGCTTGGATACGTGCCGATACCAAAAATTCCAAGAGTTACTCTATTTAAAAACTGGTAGTTTGCATGTGCTATCTGCTAGTAATAGCTGCAGGTGCCATCTCACTCTAATTGATCTTCTGTGTGCACTGATAAATTTCTCAGAGTGGTAGGACATTTGTGACCCGCTCCAGCATAACACGGACTAAGTCGCAAGTCATTGTTTTGAGTAATGAGCACGCACACATGTCAATGCTGAAAATGGCCTACCTGGACAAAATTTTTACAAAAATAAGTTCCTAAGTGCATATTTAATCTGGATATATAGGTTCAGATATCTCTAGATTATTATGGTCATTTTTAATTAAAAAAAAAAAAATATTTGAAGGGCCCCTGACAGCTCATCCCCGACTGGGCCTCTTACCCGGAACGCTTTATCTCAAAAGCTGCATATTCCGGAATAAGTCGGTTTCCGATCTTCAAATTGCTGTAGATCGGTCAATTCTTTAGATATAGCCAAATATTATATATCATTTTAAAGGATTAAATTAAATGATCTATTCAGATATGCACATAACTCAATTTGTAGAATTTCCTACTTAATCCTGGTTTTGCTGGAGCTGGTCACATTTGTATGCCATACCAATGCCATACATTCGGATAGCTGTAGTAGAATTTAGACTACATAGGGGCTCTTTCACCGGCTGTCTGTTTCAGTAACTCCATGTCCAGGTTAACTGTCACCTACCGCCACCTGGTGACGATTTCAAGCAACGGACAGTAGGCCTAGAGCTTATCAAAAACAGCAGGGGGGGGGGGGCTTTTATCGAAACTGTTGTAGCCGTAAAATTTCAGGATTTACCGAGAGAGAAAAAACGAAATAGTATTTAAACATGAAATATGTGCCAGTGGCATCTGCAGTTCAACCAATAAAAAACTTATGCTTACCTATGTTCGATAGTAGACTGATGACGCTCAAGCTCCTTTTTCGTAAACACAACGACATCACAAATGTGGCAGCATGATAAACTGTTTGGTATGTGGCTCATTTGTTCTGAATGGTACCTAAAATGCAAAATAGACAATTGGGTTACATCAGATGTCAAATCATATACAAAAAATAACACACAAAAACTCCTTCATGGGGTAGTAAATGTCCCATGTGACTTTTTTTATAAAAAAGACTAAATTAAACATTTTATTTTAATGTTTATTTTAAAATTAACATCATCGTCATTCGTCATTTTCATTATTATTATTATTATTAAACTTTTTTATTTATTTTAACTTCAACATATTATCTAATTTTTTGAAACTATCATTTTATTAACTAAACATTTTTATTCCAACGGTTTCAACAATACCTGTATTCATCAACAATGGAGAAGCACTTTGAGCAAGCCGTTAGAAGACACTTAAAATGAAGTTCTCGGTCATGAACTGCCTGCATGTGTTTTTCATATGAACCAAAGCCTAGTTATAAAGTAAAAAGAAATGTGTTAGGATTAGATTTTCACAGGCTTTTACTTTTTTGTAAACTTTTATGACAGAATTCTTGCAATTGCAAAATGAAATTTTTCTCCTTCCAGTGTAGATGGTTTTAAACCACTCTGTAACTGGATGATGCAAAATTATGAATTGTACAACTATAAGTTTGATTATGAAACGTAAATGCATTGATTCTATATTTTAAATATAAACGCTATGGATTCTTTGCTTCTTGAGATGAAGAAAATATCTTTAGAAGCATATAATAATATAAACGAACCACATTCGCATTCTAGTAGCGAAAATAAACATGAATCTATTGTATAATACAAAATAAAAACATTTTGAATATCCTTATTGGGTAGCACTTTGTATACAAATTGGCATATGTAACATAAAAACAAGTTTATACCAACTATAAGCTTGTTACAGTCAAAACAGAACCACCGCCTTCTGTACAAGATGGACAACTCTTGATTATCTGCAATCTCCAAAGGAACTGCTACACTCCCTGTGTCTGTAAATGTAATACAATCCACACATACATTAGATGCACAATTTGCAATTTTTGCAATTTTTGCAATTGCTCACTTGCTACTCTTGCTAGAAATACACCTCATGTAACATGCGCTGCTTTTGTTTAAACCAAGGAATGTTCCTGGGGGCCGTTGTCAGAAACAAAATTAGTCGCAACATTAGTCTTACCATTAACTTCCACTCGTAAACCGTTGACAGAAACATCGTAAGGTTACGAGAACGAAAAATCGTCGCAAATATCCTCATAACATTACGAGAGCTCAGACCCTCTCGTAATTAATATAAAGTTGAAAATAACACATTTACACTACGAATTACAATTATAGTGATATTATATTTTATAATAATGAATAAAATGTGTGTTTTTCTTGAAAAACACGTCAAAATCATTAATTATTTACCGCTAATAAAACAAAACAATACATTTACAAATGGCGTATGGCATTTGTTCTCTTGTTCTAAAGGTTTTCCACGCTTGCCACGACTCTCGTTGTACGTGTGTGTGTGCGCGTGCATGTGTGTGTGCGTGCGTGCGTGCGTGCGTGCGTGTGTGCGTGCGAGTGTATGTGTGTGCGTGCGTGTGTGTGGGGGGGGCATGTGTGTGTGCGGGCGTATGCGGAGAATTGGCACAATCCTGATGTGATAAGCATCACCTGAATTGCAAACCTGTAGAAAATGTCGCTGTCAACCCACGCCTACGTGTATTCATTCATTGCCGGACGCATGCGGATACGTCATCTCACCCACCACGCATGATCATGGATAACCTTCAGATGCGATTACGCACGCACGCACGCTCGCGCGATCGCGTACACGCACAGACTCAGACACGCACACCTACGAGAATGCTACCAGTCCCACGCACACAACACGTGCGTACGTGCGCACACGCATACGCGCACACGCCCGTACACACAGATAATGGGCCAGTTAAGTGTCAGTGTCACTTCATGTTTGGACGGATGTAACTGCAAACCGCGTTGTATAGAATGTGACCTCAATTAATATGAATTCTTTCGCGCTGTCGGTCCATCCATCGCTTCCCATTAATTATTCACGCCAGCTGTCACGTTTTTGTCACTATAGGACAACGCGTGGCCCATCACAGCGCACTAGCACACCATGGCTATACTCCCAGCTTGTCATTATCCAAAGCAACTAAACGGACTATAATGATATAGTCATAGTTTAAAGCGTGCTGTATGTAAAAAAGTAAGTGAAAACTTAATTTAACGACGATGAAAAACATGTTAGTTGTAGAGACAATAAATTGGTATATTTGGTGAGCGTAGCGATAGAAGATATATATGGCGAGAGTGCATTCTATTTACACATCTATAGACATGTCTATGAAGAAGAGGCCTGGACAGCCTCTACTGGGCATATGCAGCTTTACTAAGTTTCCCCACGTGGATTTAGGTTGCTGGTTGGATGTTGCCATTGTATATATAACAAAGTTTTGTTAAGAAGATGCTACACAAAGTTTGTAGTGAATTTACTTAGTTTTTAGTTACTTATCTATTTACACATCTATGATGGTGGCTCCTATTTTATTCAGAGGAAAAATTCAACCATATACTAAAACCGCTTGTTGCGGTATCTACAACTATATTACTTTAGTTACTATATTACCTCAATACTGGCAGTGTATTATAAATAAATGTTGTTTATATATAACGTCAGTTCGTCAAATTCTGTACCGTGATAAGATTTGTTTCTCGCTTCACGTAGCTAAATAAAATCACTTCAAAAAACCCTGCGGACCCGATTATACTAGTGTTTTCATACATTAATCTGCTTCGCTACTGGCTATGTATGAGTACGAGTGTATGTCCAGCATCGAACAAATATACGTAAAAATAGAAGAATTGTATAGTATGCAGCAAATTTAAAACACATAACAAAGTGAAACAGAAAATACTTGTATTTGCCCTGAAAAAGTGGTTTTTTATTTATTTTTTTATTATTTCTAGGTGACGTAATCACTTTAATAAATGGCGCCGTCAGAGTAACACCGGAAATTGCAGATCCAAAGAGATTTTGATTTTTCAACACCCAATATTTCCGGGGAGGTCCGCTCACCCCGACCGTCCCCTAAATACACAAGGAGGGAGATACCCCTCTGAAAGAGGAAAAAATCTCCTAGATATTTATGATGAAAGTATGCCCTCGCAAAATTTTGATTGTTTTTTAATTTCAACTTTTTAAACGAATTCCATAACAGAGTAAGGAGGGGGAATACCCCCTCAAAACCCCCTTCTCCGTGGGCACTTCGTGCCCGTTTGAGACTCGCATCGATTCCCCCCCTAGAGAATATGCACGGTTCTGGATCCGCACACTGGTTTGTGTGGTTGGTGGTGTTTGTGGGGTGGGTGGGGGGAGGGGGTGTGCGTGTTATTAAACGCTGCTGAATCCAACTAACGAAAAAAATAACCCGCTAGAATTACAGAAATATTGCATCTTAATTACAGTTTCACAATTTTTTTTTCTAATTCCGTTCAAAACTGCCAGATTTGAAGGTTCTAAATTGCATAAAGAATCTCAACGAGCGGCTCCGCCCCACCCTGACCACAGGCAAGGGCTGACTGCCCCTGCACTACTACTCGTCCCTCTCGCGCCCAGGGGCTCCTAGTGGCCGGGCCCCGGCCCCGCCACCCGTTGATAGGGCTCGTAAGCGCAAACGCTGCGTGGCGGTGTCTGGCTGCCTCATAACTCGGCACACTCTGCGGCATCCGTGACAACTGTGATTGGAAGCTAAAGTAACCCATCCCCCACACACGACACACAGAACTGGAGGACCCTTGCTCTGACGGCGCCACCTGGTGAATATGTAATGTATGTATATGCGCTTTC